TTTATACCTGAGGCTGACCGCCAGCGGTGACTTGGTGCTGGGTTTACAATCTGTGTGGTTCATTCCGGTATGTAGTGTGACCACCTCGAGGCCTTTGGAGGAAATGGGCCATCTTCTATTTGGGTGCCTTTACTTTTCTCGGCAGAATCTGAGCTGGGCCAGTTTTTAATTATGCTATTAGGAGACTGAGCTATTCCTTTGGATTTTAAGTTGTGGCATTTCCAAGTGTCAGAACTAGGTTTAATCAGAAATAAAACCCAGAAAAGAAGCAACTGGCGACTCTCAGCATGTTTGGTGAATGCCATTATGCTCCAGGGTCGGTTCTGAGTTTGAATCCCTGATTTGTCACTTCCTAGTTACGTGATTTCAGTCAGATTACTTAATGTCTCCAAACCTCAATTTCCTTCTCTGCAAATGGAAGTAATATACATGTTGGGAAGCATTGCTGGCAACAAGAATGCTATGTGTAGGCGTGTATGCCTATATGGTATCTCTACAATCATACTTCTCCTTGAGAGGTAAATCTTCACAGCAATACTTCTTTAATTCCCAATAGGGCCCAAATCTGTTGGCATAGCTTTAAATTTAAATTCATAATTAGATATATTTGGATCTATTGTTCATCTTTTCCCCTGGGACTTTTCTGCTCAAAAATCTTAAGATCCATTTAGAGATGCCGATACCTTCTACGGCTCCCACTCTCCCTGGTTCTGCCTTCTTGGGATACCCGCCTCTCTTGGGAGTCTGTCTTGGTGCCAGGGTATCTCTGAAATCTATGTCTGTGTGCACTTCATGCTCACAGGAATCATTTTTAACACAACCTAACCATTAGAGAGGTGTGGTTCACACCCTGTCATCAGAGTAACCACTAATTGATACCTCTTGAAGAATGACAGATTCCCTGAAGCATTCAAGGCCGCCTGACAGGCAAAGATGCCACCTACCTCTATGATTAACGCTCTCCCCATGCAGACACTGCTGATTTAAGATGCATGTTGTTCTTTCTTGATGTTATTTTTTTGATGTTATTCCTAATATATACTCTTACATTTTATTTTGCCATGTAATAACATTAACCTTTTTATAGTTTCCAAGGATTTCAAACAAGCTAATTTCTGAAGCTGTGCCCTCTGGACCTAGTGTCCTTTACTGTGCTGTGTAGCATCTTGTTAATAGATGATGGAATTTAATGAATACTTTTTTTGTTTCTTGATCAAAGGAGGGAAATAAAGCAGAAAGAGGTGCGTGTTGGGTGGGAGGTGGGGAGCAAAGTAAGGAAATGAGAGTAAGTTTTTCCCAAGAAAACCAAGAATTATAGAACTGTCTCTATCAAGCAGAAATTGGGATATTTATGTCAGTACACCCTATATCACTACTTGAGAGAATCAACAAATGTGTAGGAATTTGTCATGTCTACCCACATCTGGGCAAAGTTAGGAAACTACAAAAGATAAAGAAAAACTGCTGGAACAAAGTCTTCATTAAGGTAGGAATAAAGCCGCTATTATCGTCTACCATATCCCCAGTCTTTAACAAAGTGCATGGCAAATATTATGTATTCCATAAACATTTGCTTTGTAAATGTGCTTTGGATCATGTCCTTGGATGACTTAGAATGGATGTGAGCACCTTTTCCCTGAAGCATTGTAACTATATTAGGTTGGGATGTAACTAAACCTGAAAGGTAGGTAACATATTTTTGTGTTGTTACTACCTGAACATAGACGTTTCTTAATATCAGTTAGGAAAAGAGGAAAGAAAGATGCATTTGGATTGACTTGAGACTTGAATCCTCAAAGCAGTCAGCACAATTTCTTTAATAACTCCATCTATCATTGTGCTGAATTACAGCATTGTTTGCTTCCAGAGTTGTGTCTCTTGGCTTCAGAATGCAGGAATAATTGTAGACTGTGGCTTGACATTCCAAAACTGGGGCCAAGATCATCCTCAAATTGCTGGGTACAGGAAAGCGGACAATAAATGAATCAGAAAGCATGACTTTCTCATGTTACAATATTCTGCCATCTGCCCTGGAATGTGGGGGCAGCTGGGGTAACTGCATACAACTGAGCCTGGAGTTGGTCCAGACAAAGTTGTCCAGAGTCACTAAGGACTACAAAAGCAATGTCATATGATAAAAGATGGAAAGATTCAGACTGCAGTGGGGAATAAGATGAAGGTAGATAAATTTATGAAATGGCATGCAGAATGTAAGCCTGCAGCAGTAAAACTTTAAAAATAAAGAACAGTAAAAGTTTATTGAGCACTTACATTATGTACAGTAATGAATGATTTACCTATGACTTAATTTCATTTACATAAACATCCTATGTTTATGTAATGGAACCTGGTGGAACCAGAATGGAACCAGAACCAGAACCACAGTAGTAAACCCCAAAGCCTAGTTCTTAAACACTGTACCGTGTTTCCTAGCCAATTTTAGACTACTCAGAATAAGGGAGGCTTTTATTATTTAAAAAAAAAAATCATTTTTTGGGAGCTAAAGATCTTTGAAGGAATTTATGTTACCCCCATGAGGGGTAACATAAAATAAAAATGAGGGGTACTGGTTGGGCTCAGTGGCTCATGCCTATAACCCCAGCACTTTGAGAGGCCAAGGCAGGTGGATCAGCTGAGGTCATGTGTTTGAGAAAAGCCTGGCCAACATGGTAAAAATACAAAAATAGCCAGGCATGGTGGCAGGCAACTGTAATCCCAGCTACTCAGGAGGCTGAGGAAGAGAGAGTTGCTTGAACCTGGGAGGTGAAGGTTGTGATGAGCTGAGATGCGCCACTATACTCCAGCATCTGGAGTACCCCAGGGATAGGAAGGGATGACCCTAAAGAGACATGACAAATTCGTGATCAAATTAGATTTAGATCTAAAGTCTTTTGATGACTGTCAATACCTTTTCCCTAAACATATCTCTCCCCCCCCCCTTTTTTTTTTTTTTTTTGTCTAACCCTGGATTCCTTTACTTGATACTTTTTATAGTAAAGCAGGGACTGAGATTTGAGGGAATGAAAAGAAATAATGGCATGGAAACAAAGGCAGAAAACCTGAAAAATACATGATAAAAGTAACAATGAGATTTCAGCATTAGCCTCTAAGCAGAGTCATCCTAATACATGCCACACATACTCTAGGTATTCCTAGAAGTAGTTTTGGGGCTTTTGTTTGCTAGATTCACAAATATACCTAATATTCATCTTTTGCATCACACTCCAGACTATATCAATTCTTTTCCTAAGCCCAACACTAGAAGACATTCATCTAGTAAATATTTCATAGTTGTCAAAATTGCAGGAGATGGAATGCTTTGGGTTCAAACCAGGCTCAGCCACTTATCAGCTGAGTGGCCGTGAGAAGGTTTACTTAACCTTCCTGTCTGCTCATTAATTCATTCATTCAAAAATATTTATTGAGCTCCACCTTTGTGCTAAGCTCTCAGTGAAATGAAGGGCCTGAGACACAGCAGGATACCAGAGATAAAATTTCTTGCATGCATGGAGCTTACGTTTTACTGGGGGATGGCAGATCGTAAGCAGGTAGACGTGTAATATATCAAAAATACTTTTAAACCTAGAGAAATGGGAATGAGATTGGTGGTAAGAGTTTACAATTTTAAGTAATTTTACAAGGGTCCTCACTGGGAAGGTAACATTTGAGCGAAGACACGAAACAGTGAGGAGAAAAGTGTGCCAGGTAGAGGGAATGATGAGTTCAAAGGCTCCTAATAGAGTCAGAGGCGTGTTAGAGGTGCAGCATGGCTAGAGAGGAATAAATGAGGGGGAGAAGAGAAGAGTGGAAGATGAAGACGGTGGTAAGAGAGATGCAGCAAGCAACAAGCGTGATCATTTTGACCATTATCACAGTAGCTTTGATTTTGAGTGAGGTGGAATGTTTTGAGCAGGGGAGTGTCATTCTCTTACATGCGTCTGGTAGAGAGTGCCAGCCCTAGTCTGAGAGAGCCTGCTGTGCAACCTCGTTGATCTTTAATAATGTCTTGCACCAGCATGGTAGTAAAAGACGTGGTTAAAAAAAAATAGTTGCTGGATTTATTCTGAAGATAGTGCCACCAGAATATGCTGATGAAATGGACAGCATGAGGTATACATGCAAGACAGGCATCAAGGTTGACTTGGAGGATTCGGGCCTGATCAACTAGTTGAATGATATTGCCGTTGATTGAGAAGGCATAAACTTAGAAGAAGTTTAGTATTTTCCAGGCAGGAGCTGGTGATGGTGGCGATTAAGTCAGACCTGAGTTGGATCATGTTATATCTGACATGTCGATTAGAATCCCAAGTAGAGTTGTTGAAGAGTCAGTTGACAGAAATTTAGAGTTCAGGGAAATATCTGGGCCTGGAGACAAATCTCAGAGTTGTCAGAATACAAGTGGTATCTCAAGCTGTGGACCTGGAAGATGTACCTGGTGAGAAAGTATGTATAGAGAAGAGGCTCAGGACTAAGCCCTGTAATGTCCTTATGTTGGAAATTGGGAGGTCGAAAAGATAAAATGGAGGTAGCCAAGATGGAGTGGCCAGTGGTAGTAGTAAAACTGATCCCTTAAAAGTCAAATGAGGGAGGTATTCGAAGGGGGAGTGATGCAATGTCTCCTTGTCTTGCTTTTATGACAGGCCAGTGTTAAACACATTGTTTTTGTATACTAAATATTTGCTTGACACACAGATTTAACCATTCCACAGATTATGAATCATCATGGAAACTCACTTTTGCTCTCCCATCCTCAGTTTTCCTGTAAGTTAAATGAGCAAATTTGAATTGTTAAGTTGTAAACTACCTTCCAGCCTTGATTTACTATGAATTTTTTGGGTATGATTCTTCAATTCAGTCAAGACTGAACCCATTCAGGCATTATGCAGTTTTATGACAAGCAGAATTTAAATTATCTTTTCTTTAGTCTCTCCAAGCCAAATGGCATTTAATTTAACTTTATTTTTGTTTATGGACGTTTTCTGTGTCTTGTAATTTTGTAGACTTGGACGAAACCTCCATCCTCAGGGATTTGGAGAAGGCTCTACTGGAACCTGTGTGAAAGCTGAGACAACCATCCCTTTTGTGGTGGCCTGAGGAGATTTTCTTAATCCCAATGTTGCCCTGAAATTTATGTCCAGGATTCAAGAAGATTAGGACTGCTAAGGTAAGGGTTTGTGACTTTAATATATTATTTTCTAAGATAAATGTGATACTTTTAAACATATTATCCATATTCACAGTATTTCTCCTCACCCTTTCCCTGACCTTCTTCTTTTTCCTTTGTCTCTTAAAGGAAAAATCTTTTCTGTCCTTAAAATATCCCACCAGCTTACGAGATGTGTTACAACAGGTGAAGATGCAGTGGTAGAAACCGAAGGAAGCCTGCATGGTCTCAATAATAAAGAGGAGGTCAGAGGGCAAAGACAAAGCACACAGAGAGGTTTGTGCAGGCGTCTCAGCTAGAAAAGAAAAGAGAAATGGGGGTAGACACTTAGGTGATAAAACTCAGGTAAAGAGATGAGTAAAGAAGTGGTGCTGTGTAATACACTGTTAATTTGTATTTTCAGTGTCCACAGGAGACTTTGACAAAATTTTGTAATTCCTTAAGGTCTTTAGGGGAGCTGTCTTTGTATTTATTTTGGATATATATCCATGCTGGAGCAGACTCTAAGTTGAAGTCAAAAGGTTTCAATTATTTTTTCAAGTTCAAATGATAATTATCACAATAATGGTAATTAGACACTAATCAACAAAGTATGCATTTGCATGCGTATACACACATCCTGATACATATACACAAACATATATGTATAAGTATACATAATTCATTGAGTGGTATCTATGTGTGCACATGTATATATGCATATATATATAGACAGAGTGTCAGGAAGGGAGGGACAGATGGAGAGAGGGGAGAGAGAAAATGCTTAGAACTGCCATTTGTGGAGTGTGTATTGTGAGTCAGGCATTGTGCTATGAGCTTTGAAAAACATATTATAAGCACAACTCAGAACAACCATCTGGAATAGGAATTTCTGTTCTGGAAAACCAAAGGGGAGATAAGTAAAAAGGGTTTCTAAGGTTGTGTAGCAAGAAAGGGTCAGGGGCCAGTCTCATCCCCAGACTTACCAGAGTTTAACTCTCTGTGCTCATCTACTGTAGAGAGTAGTAGGGTTGTATTCGCTTTTGGTTAAAAGCACTGGGGAATAGATCATTTTACAGCTTAGAACCACATGGTGTGTTCAAGAGAAGCTGCAGGATGTGTGTGAAAATTTCATTGGTAACTTACTAGATGCCCTTTTAATCTCCTTCAAAAAAGAAAGAGAAAATAATTCTTCATAACCCAAAGGCTTCTGGGAACTGGGAGAACAATGAAGGTGAGGTGTGGCATTGGCTCCCTTCTCCGGGCACCATAGGTCATACGTCACGTGTGTGCAGGGTGGAAGTATGGAGCTGTTGCATACCACATTAGTCATACAGCCACAAGCCTGCTGTCATTTTATTTCTGAATTTCTCGCTGCTAAAGTAAGTGTGGTGTATGCTCTTAGCTAGTCATGAATGGGCCTTCTTTTGAGGATGAAGCACTTTCTATCTAGTATTCCCAAATGCCAGTGAATAAATGAGCTGTGATGTTCACGTTGCTTGTGGAACTGCTAGAAGACTGCTGAGAGATGGCAGACAAGTAAGAGGGAGCATTTCAAACAAACCTCCTCCTCCTCTAGTCAGAATAACTTTTTAAAAAATAAAGTAGATAAATTATTTTGCTCTTTTTCACATGTTTAAGGAAGTTTAAGTATGAAAACTTAGTAGGAATTCATTTTTCATTAAGATGGTTTCAAAGGCCAAATAGGTAATTAACCAATCATAAAATAAAAATGCAACAGAGTGTACCTTTATTGAGTCCTTGGACAAGTATAAACATTCTACATAATTGATATGTAGCTGTGGTACGGTTATTTCTTCCCAGTAATTCTTTTTTTTTTTTTTAAATGGAGTCTCACTGTGTAGCCCAGGCTGCAGTGCAATGGTGCAATCTCTGCTGACTGCAACCTACACCTCCTGGATTTAAGCGATTCTCCCGCCTCAGCCTTCCAGTAGGTGGGATTGCAGGCACCCACCACCATGCCTAGCTAATTTGTTTGTATTTGTTAGTAGAAATGGAATTTCATCATGTTGTCCTGGCTGGTCTCAAACTCCTGACTACAAGTGGTCTTATGCCTTGGCCTTCCAAAGTGCTGGGATTATAGGTGTGAGCCACTGTGCCCAGCCTTTCCATTCATTCTTGATCTATTGGAAAGGAAAACTAAAATGTTCTCTGCTTGTCCTCAAAAACCTAGAGAAGCTTAGGGATTTGGTTTGGGATTTTGATTACTGAATTTTTTGGCTTTGAGAGTATCAAACTTTAATTCGGAATGTCTGTGTTCTGTCAAGAATATTCACTTAGATGCCAAGTACTTACCACATAAATTTAGAAAAGTTTTAAAGTCTTGGCTATAAAAATGTTTCTGGTTTAGAGACCAATCAACCGTTGAGGGGAAAATAAAGCGCTCTCTGATTGTTGACAGAGGATGCAGGGAGAAGAATGCCGATTTGGCAGTGCATGTTCATCTTAGGGCTCTGTTCAGCCATAATATATATATAAGGATGTGCTTGTCCCTGTTCATAGACCAAAACCCAGATTCCAGGAAGAAGGAAATGAGGCAGTGTTGGTACTATCAATCTGCCTAATGCTTTCTGGCTCCCATGCTCTGGTGCGTGTAACAGATTTTTCAGATGTCTTTTCAAGTGAAGACATTATAAATTAGTGGCTATGGAACTAGACTTTAGAAAAGGCAAATCAGTGTTCCAATAAAGCTCCTGTATGAACATTAGAAAGGCCATCTAATTCTTCTAAGCCCATGTTCTTTAAAGTATGTTTCATAAGCCAAAAGCATCAGCATCATCTGAGCTTGTTAGACATTCAAATTCTTCGACCCTTTCCCAGACTTACTATTTGACTTTGCTAAGTCAAAACTTCTTGGAGTAAGGTCCAGAAATCTGTTTTTTAGTAAGCCATCTAGATAATTCCTATGCTTTGCCAAAAAAAAAAATTTTTTTATTGTGCTTTGCCAAAATTTAAAAGCCACTGCTCAACTTGATTTCTGAAAAATAAAGGAGCTTATAAAAATTTGATGTCTAAAAACTAGGATGATTTAAGGCCTTAGTGTGTGTGTATTTGTGTATTTGTATGCATATATAGTGAACACATACATACATGCATATGCATATGACATCAAAAGGGAAAAAATGTTTTCAAAAAACCATAAGCAAAGTTACGGAGATTTTAATTACTGAATTTGAAATCTACAAAATGGAAAAAATATATATAAAACTAATTTAAAAACGAAAGTTAAAATAGCTATCATTATAAATAAATGGGTCCATAAAACAGAGTAAGCCAGACATCGAGGCTCATGCCTGTAATTCTACTGTTTTGAGAGGCCAAAATGAGAAGACTGCATGAGGTCTGGAGTGCAAGACAAGCCTGGGCAACATAGCAAGACCCTATCTCTCCAGAAAAAAAAGAAATTAGCCAGGCATCATGGCACATACCTGTAGTCCTAGATACTCAGGAGGCTAAGTGAAAGAGATAACTTGAGTCCAGGAATTTGAGGTTATAGTGACATATGACTGTGCCACTGTACTCCAGACTGGGTGATATAATGAGACTCTGTCCTTATAAAAATAATAAAACAGAATTGAGAGTTCTGAAATAGGTACATATATATACAATCAACTGGCTTTTAATAAAAGCACCACATTAATTCAAAAAAGATAGAAAAAAAATGCTTCAACAAATAGCATAAAACAGCTGGTTATTTATGTAAAAAATAAAGAAGTTACCTGTACCTCACACCATACACAAAAATCAGTTTGAGTCGGAGCACAGATTGAAGCATAAGTCCTTAAAACAATAACAACAGCAAAACCCAGAGATCTGGAAGAAAAGCTAGAATATCTTTGTAACTTCAGGAGGAAAAGTTTTTTTTAGAAAGCACACAAAAAGCACAAACCATAAGAAGAAATAAGTACTTTAAACCTCATGAAAATTGAAAGCATCTACTCATCAAAAAATATCACTGTGGGAAGTAAAAAACAGTTCCTCTTCAAAGTTTCCTTTCTTGTTTAAGAAAAATTCCTAAGTGTTAGAAATAATAGTTTGTTTTAAACACTTTCTTCAAAAGCCTTCTTGCCTTTTTGCTAGAAGCCCTATCCTGTGTAGCTGTTAGACTTGCTTACAGGCACGTAGTACATCCTATGTCCTTGGACTTTAACCAAGATATTTGTGCCGGATGTGCTCACAGGCATGTCCTAGCTCACAGCCTATGTCCCTTCCTTATTTGAACTTCCTTTTTTTTTTTTTTGCTCACCATTGATTTTACCTGTATAGAAAAGCTTCAAGTTATTAGCCAATTGGGTTTTAGTTTAGATTGTGAGGTCCGGCTCCAGCCAATGGAGATCAGACACAGCAGTAAGGACAATCCCAAATACGTAAGAAATAGATATGTCTGCTTTCTTTTGTTCATTGTAGTCTGTGGCAAGATTGCTAGTGGGAGTACCCTTTCTGCAGGCAGTAAAAAGAGTTGCTTTGCTGAGAGATCCTTTGTCCCAGTACTAGTTTTTCTTTGCAACACCAAAAAGAAAAATTTTATACATAACCACCACCAAGAAAAAAAGGAGATGGACCACAGACTAGGAAATAATATTTGTAATATATATATTTAACATATATATGATGCACTTCATAAAACTAGATAAAATAGCCAATAAAGAGGGCAATGGTCCTTAATTTGCATTTGTTGTCAAATGCAAATTAAAACCACAATGAGATACTTCTACATACTTATCAGAATGGCTAAAAATAAAAAGAATGAGAGGACCAAAAGTTAAAAGATTGTGAAGTAACCACAGTTCTCATACATTACTGGTAGAATTGTATAATATTCCAATCACTTTGAAAACTAGTTTGGCAGTTTGTTATAAAGTTGTCCAAGTATCTACTTTAAGACCTAGAAATTCCACTCCTAGGTATTTATCAAAGAGGATCGAAAACATTTTTATACACATTTTCTTAATAGCTTTAATTATAGTAACTCAATCCTGAAAACT